GCAGGGCTTGGGGAGAGAAGAGCTCTCTGGTGGCTGGGATAGTCAGGGAAGGCTTCCAGGAGGAGGTGGGAGAGGTGGGGAAGAGTAAACACAGGTCTCCTGGATTACTGGGGGAGCTAACACACACACACACACACACACACACACACCCCTTGGTGGAGTCCCTAGACTAGACTGATACCCACTTTCTGAGAGATTTCTCCCCTGGGCAGCTTAGCAGTCATCTCTCTGCCTTGAAGGCATCATGTAAAACCCAGTAATCTCTCATAGACTTCCTAAATGAGTTTTAGAAAATACATGCATTTCCCATTTTTGTGAGCTTTGGATTTCTAGGTCAGCCTGCAGATCATGAAAAGGACAGCTAAATAAGAACAGCGAAAACAATTAATAAGTCTAGATCAAACCAGTTACGCACCACCAACCTGTTTCAATAGGGAGAGCCAGAATAGGAAAAACCTCCCTGAAAATTTGGAGTAAAAATCTCCATTGAATGAAACAGCAGTGAAGGTTTGCCTGGGGGAAGGGAAAGAAATCACGAGAACCTCAACTTCTAGCATGAAATGCATCTGTTAAATAGACCTACTAATGGTGTTATCGTAGCTAAAAACAGTGACTTGAAAATGTTGTGTACATTATTACCGTCATTATCCACCAACTGTAAGAATGCTATGTTAAAACTAACTCAAAAACACCTCGAGAAAGGTAATTGCTACTAATGGATCTGAAGTGTGCAAAATTGGACATCATTACCCTGTCCTCACGTTGTGCGGCTGGGGAGGCTGCTTGAGATGGCGGTTAGTGGGCTCACTCGTGTTTCAATCAGGACGGAGGTTTGAGGAGAGGGTTGGGCTCGCTTTCATCCTCCAACGCAGGGAGCCTCCATGTCGCAGTGTTACAGGCAAGCCCTGCTGGGGCAGAGCCAGGGGCAAGGGATGGGGTTTTTAGCACCATTCTCCAAACTCTCCCAAGCTGATTCTGTTGTCGGGGAGGGGACTGGAGATGCGACAGAGTCTTCCTGTGCTGAAAATCTTCCAGGTGCCAATTTGTCAGATCAATTGCCACCAAATGAGTTAAGTATTGCTGAGCCTGAAATTTAGTGGAATAACCCAGGATCAAGGGTTAGAAAAGCCAAATGGTCACCTTGAGTCATCTTCTGCTCCCAGACATCAATGCCCACGAAAGGAGAGCAACCCAGCTGTTCCAGGCGAGGTAGCTGTTCACCTGCGCTGGGGTGTGTGTCACCGCCCTGCCTCTGGTGTGTGTCACACACTTCTTCCTGGCACGTGGCCCAACCTCCTTCAGCTGTAATAACTGCCTTTACTCCTGACTGAGTTCCCCATCTCCTCACCTCTCATATTCCCTAAATTTCCCTTCTCCCTTGCTAACTGATAATTTTTTTAAACCCTCGGTCCTAAAAAGTTTCCCAAACTTTCAGGAAAAAAATGTCTCCAAACAGTACATGCACCTTAACATGGAAGCTTCCCTCTTCTGCCCAACTCTCCAGTTTGGCACTCAGCCCTGCCCCACAAAAAGAAAAACAGAAAGAAAAAAAATTCAAAGAAGCTGAGTTTGAACAGGAATTTCAACTTCTTTTCTCACTACAAGTCTGACAACTTAGGGAGGATTTCCTCCTTCTTCCTGGCCAAAATACAAGAGCACAGACAGAGGGCCAAATGTCCAGAAACCACGTATGTAATCTGACCAAGAGAACTGCCTAAATTCTAAATTTAAAATAAAATGTATTTAAAAAGCCTTTCATTCATGTGAGTAATTTCTTCCCGATGAGCAGAAGGCCCAGTGCCCTGGCAAGTCTGTGATCTTGAAGCTCTGAATGAATGGCTTTGCCCTCGTCTCTTCACTGAAAGACTAAGAAGCAGGACCCTAACAGTCTTCCGGTTCCCTGGTAAGGCTTCACACTGGCAAAGAGCACTGGCGAGGGGGCAGAGGGGTGCGTGGGGCAGACAGATGCACAGCAGGATGAAATGCTGTTGGGGGAAGAAAGTTGGCAAACCATCTGACTTGTAAAACAATTTTCTTATATGTAACTCCAATATAGATAATATAACTTACTTCATCATTCCTGTGATTGATTCCTTTTCTTATTCAGGAATTACTTATTTAGCATCTCCTAATGGTGTTTGTGCTCTAACGGTCCCTGCAAACAGAGGAGACACAGGTGCCTGGTGCAGACACTGAAATGCACGCTGGGTACAGAACTGATATTCTGATACGGGAAAGCAGATGACAGACGTAGAAATCTGTACATCAGGCCTGGATCATTGTCTAATGAAGAAAAATCTAGCAGCAAAGGATGACGAGGTGGAGTGCTCTTTTAACATGGGGGCTCAGGACATGTGAAAAGGACGGAAAGGAAGTGAGATGTCTGGGGAACAGCCTTCTGGGCAGAAGGGAAAGAAGCGCAAAGACCTTGAGCAGGGAGTGATCTCAGGGCGTGGAGGGACAGGCCAGGTGGGTGGAGCACATTCTGGAGGAGGTGAGACGGACGACAGCCAGCACAGAGGGCAACAGGAGCGAGATGAGTGGGCCTTAGAACCTCAGCGAGGACGCGGGGTTTTACTCTGGGCGAGATGAGAAGCCGCTGGAAGGTTTGCGCCGAGGAGGAATCAGGCCTGACCTGTTCTAGAAGGATGGCAAGAGCTGCTGTGTGGGGAACAGACAACACAGGGACAAGGAGAGGGGTTGGGAGACCAGCTGGAAAGGTCCGCACCCACCCAGGTGAGGGACACGGGGAGGAGAAGTGGTTAGATCCAGGTAAGCTTTGAAGGAGAGGCCGGTGGGGGAGGTGGGGGAGAGGGTATCGCTCCGCGGCAGATCACATGCTTAGCATGCACGAGGTCCTGGGTTCAATCCCCAGTACCTCCTCTAAAAATAAGGAAATAAATAAATCTAATTACCCACCCTCCACCAAGAAGAAAAAAGAAAAAAAAGGTGGACAAGGACTGCCCACGGGTGGGATGTGGGTATGAGAAGAAAGAAGCCAAGCACGACGCTGGCTGGAGGGACCAGGCAGACCTGCCGTCTCGTTCTGCTTCATCACCAGCAGCAGGACCTCGGACAACACTTTCAACCCCTCTGGGTCTTCATCCCCAAAGTGAGACCATTGGACTAAAAATTTCTAACGTTCCTGTGGACTCTGACATTCTTCACTTCATTATTGGCACGAAGCAAGATTATAAAGCAGATCATTTTTCAAGTATTCAGGTGTTCCATCTGTGTTCTTACAGTTCAAATAATTCTCCTTTCAAACACCTATATTCAATGGTCTCTTCTGTTTTTAATTCATCCAGCTGGGCTAGATCTCCAGTTGTCAAAGGCTTTGCTCCATGTCGCTGTCAACAACTTCCTGAAAACTTGGGTCTTCTGCAAGACTTGCCATTTCACTTTGCAATCTATTTATGTTTTATTTGCATTTGGGTTGTCAAATGTTTCCCATACCCTGAAATTAGCTGAGCTGTACTGAGCGCCAGAAATGTTCAAGATATTGACCCAATGGGCAGGGTTAAAACTGTAGTGTTAAAACAGGGAGGGTTGTTTGAGTGAAGACTGATTTTCTAAGTGGGCACGTTATTACGGAGAATTTTCTCCTAAGAATCACTTGTCTTTCCATATGCAACTGTGGACTCGGGTAATGAATACTCAGAGATCAAAAGGATCTTTACCCCAACGGGACAGCTTTAAAAAGTTTCCCATAATGATTCTGAAATGTCTTTTGGCAGATAAGTGTGGCGTTTTAATATCTAGTTCCTAATCTGGGTGTGTGTGTGCTTGTGTGTATCTATATGTCATTATGAGTGCTAAATATTCCATGGGTCCCAACAGAGAAAATATTTTGGAAGATCTGTTCTTACACTTTTATTTATTATGTAGATATAGAGGTAATAAGGAAGAAGAAAAATGTGAAACAGTGTATTTCTCATTTTTCTTTGGAAATAAATTCATTTTTTTCCTTTTCCTTTTTAATTTCTGCCAATAGCCCAATGTCATTATACAGCCCTTTGCTACTCAAGGCTGGCACAGCGCTTGACTTGCTGCCCACTACACCATGAGAAGGTCCCAAATAAGCCCTGGGCTCTCTGGAATCAGACAGCCTGGGGGGTAGGGGTGGGAGGCAGGAGAGGCAAGTTGGTGAGAACAAAGGGAGACAGGAAACCAGTAAATTGACCGAGATGGTCCTGCTTCAACTCTTTTTGTGCCGTGTGCCATTTCACTTGAGTTTCATGGTACAGATTGTATGAGGAAGCCATCCAAGAGTCCCAGCCAAGAATGAGCCCCTTTGGAGATCCTGCAGGTCTCCGCACCACTTCTCCTGAAGCAATTGGTGAGGAAAGGTGGCATGCCTTCTGCTCCATCCTAGGTGGATTTAAAATAACAAACTTAGGGGATGAAGAGGGGAAGTTAATATTGTTCCCATTTGCTAGTTTAAGCTTTTTAAGACAATAGAAAATTCCATGTAAGGAAATGGAATCTGAGATCTAAAAGAATACGTAAAGTCTCACAGAGGAGCCAGAAGAATGTGCTAGGCAAAGAGAAACATAAAAGGAGATGGTACCCTAGTAACACCTTTAGTTTCTTTGAAAACACATGTCACAGGAACAAAGCATATGGTTAGTTCTGCAGGACTCATCGTGATCAGGGGAAAGTCAGGGGAAAGCACTTCAAAACCTACATCCTTCTTATGGGAGTGCATGTGAGAGACAGCTGATTAGCAATTACTACTACTGCTTGAATTAGTCTGGCACTAACTGAACAGTCACATTAGCTCAGAGTCGGAAATATGAAGACAATAACGTGCCTCCACTGCCCTGACCCACCACAGACACACGTACACACACATGTGCACGCATGCAGACATCCCATGACAGACAGCACTACATGATACTGACAGTGTAAGTTCCACATGGGCTGCAAGCATCAGCACTTGGTAGAGTGCCTATTTCATAGGAAGTGCTTTGTAAATATCTGTTGAATGGATGAACCACTGCTCTCTTCGTCCCTGAGCCTAGATGCTGCCTGCTCAACACAGCAGTTGAGTCTCAAGAAGTTTACCACCGATCAAACAGCCATGGCACACAAATTAAAGCCTGCCTGCCATCCTTTCGTAATTAGCTAAATCGTAACACTCTCCCTTTAATGATGCGGTTTGTATGGAAAATAAAGATCAATTCCTGGGTTACTCTGAGCTCCATCATGATATCCAGGTTAATTTGATGTAGCTGTTTTCATCATGAGCCATACAGCTTCACATATTTGTAAACAACAAATTCTGTTTGAAACATAAAACCTATATAATGGATGCTCTCCTAAGCCACTGTTTATCAATGCTGCGTGCACATATTTAATAATGATGTTTTTCTCTAATTACTGTGTTTGGACTATATTTTAAGATCTCTCTCTTTTTTTTTTTTTTTTTGGTAATTCAGATAGACGTCATATTGCTCACCAGTTATTTCCAGTTCTCTCTTCCTCCTGGATATACCGACAATCATGTTTTTGGTGATCCTGGGAAATCAGGTGAGCTCACGTGCTTAGCTTTGACCCAAAGGCTGTAACTGTGTGTAGCTTCCAGGTTGACACACTTAAGAGATAATGCTCAGTTTTCTGCACACTCATCACCTGCCATGGTCATCCTGAAATTCTGTCTTAAGATCAAGATGCCACAGAGTCCAAGCAGACTGGATTGTTGAGTCGTACCCCAAGGGATGACAGCTACCTGAGTGAGAAATACACCTGATGAGGTAAAGGCACTAAGATTTTGCTGCTCTTGGTTATGACAGCATTAACTAGCTTATCCTAATATAGAGATGACGAGGTCTGTCAGTTGTGAGGGAATTCCTGTCCCCTGATCTCAGTCCAGGGCAGTTTAGAGTGGCAACCATGTTCTCAAAAGTTACAGACAGAAGACCAAAGTGGCTGGTACAGAACAGAGATGAAGATAGTGAGGGCAGGGATTCTGAAGAGGGAAGTTCGCAGGGGCAAAGAAAGATGGACAGAGGAATCCATTACCAGGCAATCTGTGGTAATGCATTTGGCCAGTGGGATTTGTCCTAACCTAAGACACCAGAAGCCCTGATACCATCTAAGTGAACCCCCAGCCGCCACTCCTAACTCTCCTCCACTCCCCTACTCTCTGTTCTGATGCCTCCCTCGGGCTCAGCCATGGGCACCGTCTCCCTTCCACTGAGTTAAAATGAGCTAAGCAGAACACTCGACTGATTGAAGTTGGGGTTTTTGACTCTGCACTTTCCAAAAAACTAGTTCCATAAAGCCAGAGCAAAGTGGAACCTTACTCCAGATACTGGTTTGGCAAGTACATTGCACACAGTCTTAAGCTTAAATCCCAGCTTGACCCAGTAATAAGATTTTGCATGAATTTCAGACTGTTTCCCAAAGGCAGGTTCCAGGAAAGGGGGTTGTTGCATTACTTGTAATTACAAAAACTGGAAATAATCTAAATGATCAGCAAAAGAGGAATCATTAAAAACGAACAATAACCACAACAAAAACAGGGACCATCCATGTTCTAGAATACTGTGGCTGAAGGAACATGGTGCTAATTTCAAAGAATTCAGAATTGTTAAGTGGGATGTGGAAATAACTTACAAAATCATATTAGGTGAACAAAAAAGATGCAAAATTTTCTAAACAGAATAATCTCACTTTTATACAACAACACACAACATGCATAAAAAATCTAGAAGGAAATATATTAAAAATGTTACCAGTGACTATCTCTGAGTCGTGGGTGATGGTGATTTTTATTTCTTCTTTGAAAGTGTCTACATTTTTCAAGTTCTCTTTAATGAATGCATATGATTTAAAATTAGAAGAAAATTTTTATTTTAAACCAAATAAATTTGAACTGGAGCTTCGGGAATTTTAGTTATTCTAGGGATGTTCTGCAGTGAGGAAGGCTTTGGCTCGATCCTCTATATTTCCTAAATGCAACCTTAGACCATGGTCATTAATGTTCAACATGATGGCTCTGTTGAAGGGATGGTTTATTTTTAAATTTTTCAGTTGATATATTATTAATTAAATAAAATACAATAAATTATAACACTATTCAGAGCCTTGTTGTTAAATTATTTATAAAAACCTTTTGGTAATACAAGGCTACCCTCAAGTTAGCTCATTAGAAATCTAGGGATTCTTAAAATAATTCAGCATAGCTGGGTGGAAGGTGCTGGATTCTCCTGGCCTTAGGCACATTCTACACTCGCCTTAATGTGTGGGGGAAATACAGATTGTGTGAACTATACTGCAGACCCAGGGCTGCCCATGTACCACAGACGGGGTCCAGCCATCCAAGCAGGCATGAAATCTGCTCTAATGTACAAGACATCTCAGAGCTGGAAGGAGTCTGCGATGGCATCAAGTTTCCAGGATTGCTAGGAATGGGAGGAATCTCAAAGGTCCGTTTTGGTCTGGAAATCCTGAGATGAATCTTGAAGGGAACACCAGATGTTGCTCCTGGGCCTCCAAGTAGGTTGGAGCTCCCAGTCACAAAGCAAGCATTTCTTTCTCTCCTCTTCTCCCTCCCATCCTGGAGCTGACTGGGAGCCCATGACACAGAGACCCCACTCCTCTGCTCATGCTGTGGCCTGTTTCTCACATTACACAAGCAGTTCTCATGTGGTCTTGGAATCCAAAAACGGGCAAAAGACCTAAACAAGCAATTCTCCAATGAAGATATACAAATGGCCAACAGACACATGAAAAGTGCCCAGTACCATTAATGTTTCAAATCAAAACTACAATGAGTTATCATCTCACACCAGTCAGAATGGCCATCATTAAAATGTCCACAAACAGTAAACGCTGGAGAGGGTGTGGAGAAAAGGGAACCCTCCTACACTGTTGGTGGGAATGTAGTTTGGTGCAGCCATTGTGGAAAACAGTATGGAGATTCCTTAAAAAACTAAAAATAGACTTATCATATGATCCAGCAATCCTACTCCTGGGCATATATATCCAGAGGGAACTCTTAATTCAAAAAGATACATGTACCCACATTGTTCATAGCAGCACTATTTACAACAGCAAGACATGGAAACAACCTAAATGTCCATCAACACATGACTGGATAAAGAAGCTGTGGTATATTTATATAATGAAATACTATTCAGCCATAAAAAAGAATAAAGTAATGCCATTTGCAGCAACATGGACGGAACTGGAGACCACCGTTCCAAGTGAAATAAGCCAGAAAGAGAAAGACAAATACTATTATATCACCTATATGTGGAATCTTTAAAAAAAGACACAAATGAACTCATTTATAAAACAGAAACAGACTCGCAGACGTAGAAAACAAACTTATGGTTACCAGGGAGGAAAGGGGGTGGGAAGGGATAAATTGGGAGTTCAGATTTGCAGATACTAACTACTATATCTATTAGATAAACAACAAGTTCATACTGTATAGCATAGGGAACTATATTCAATATCTCATAGTAACCTATAATGAAAATGAAAAAGATTATGAAAATGAATATATGTATGTATACATATGAATAAAACGTTATGCTGTACACCAGAAATTGACACATTTATAAACTGAGTATACTTCAACTAAAAAAAAAAAAAACTCTGAAATAAAAATGAACAAATAAATGTCACCAATAGAAGAATTCAAAAATAATTTTCTCAAAAATGGCGTCAAACATATGGATCAGAAATTTACCATGGATGGATATGAAAAGAACCTAACCATTAGACAACATCTCTTAACAGCTCTACTTGAAATCTTTCCTGTCAAAATTGAGTGGCCAAAAATCCAGTCCTGTAAAATGAAACTATCCTGATCTCAGACTGTTCACCTTCCAGGATTACTCTGATCTCCCTATAGAAATATCATAGCTGTATGCCTTATCTGCCTTCTGTGTTGGTATTCTTAAACCTGAGGTGTACCTGTTGGAATGGACCTTATCAGGTACCATTAAATACAAATACTGCAATGAAATTCCAAGGAATTACCCCCACTGGATTCATGATTCCCAAGATATTGATAATACACCCACATTCTGGGCTTCCATATTGACAGGAGATCTAAAGCTGAAACTCCCTCAGGATTCTTCTGAAGCAAATGGAACTACAAAGGAAACAATGTTCCCAAGAATCCCAGATCAAGCAGCAGACAGCTAGACAGGGACAGCTTTGACCCATGACCTCCTGATCAGACTCTCGAACACAAGGAGCCACTGACTGCCATACCCTAATTTGTCTCTTTCTTTCATCCTGCTTTCCACAACTATCTTTTTGCCTTTTCTGTTTGTTTAAAACTTTGTTAAAAAGAGATTCTTAAAATTCCTTCCTTTAATAATGTTACTTTGGACGCCAGAGATTAAACCTTTGGTAAATAAAGAGGATGACCAAAGTGTTAGGCAAAGTTACTGATACCAAACCTCCCTTCTCCTCAGTCTGGGAGTGGAATTGTTCTTCCAGCTGATCCGTGGATGGGGCAGAATCTGGATTAATAAGCATTATCTAAAGCATTATCATTATCTACACTATCAAAATTATCTTTTGATAATTCTTTAATCCATGTTGTCTCCACAGTCATTCACTGTGCTCTTTCCACAGTCTTAAATGCTTCTAATCAGTCAGTTGTTACAAAAAAAAATAGACTGAAATTCAACTACAAAGGGAAAAGTCACAAGAAACTCTGATAACACTCCTCACCAAGTGAGTCTGAGACTGAAATTGATAGGAGTCAGAGAGTGAACAAATTAGAATCTGATCAAACAATAAGACTTGGTCTCCTGGTCAACCAAGAGGAGGAACTCAAAGAGACTCTAAGTGACTAAGAATTTCCCACGGTGGCCCTTGTATGACTTGGCCCCTTCAGCTGTTGTCCCTGACTCCTAATGAAGCCCAAATCTCCCATCCAATGCTTGTTACACCACAAGATCAATTCCTCTCCATTCCTCCATTTCTTCTTATTGATGCTGTGGTCCATTTCCTTGCACTCCTGTTGAGTGTGGTTTTAGCATTTTTGTGCCCACTATGGACAACGAATGCAAGAGGATAATGAAAAATTGAAATTACTGTTGTATTAGGTAGTGAGACTATTAAGACTTGCTTCTTATTTTCCAAATTTACTCTAAGGTAGTTACATTATCTTAACCGTAATTGTACCTCCTCGTGGAAAAGGGTAGAGATGCATGACTCTGTTCCTATACAATTAGAACCATTCCAGAAGATTCCAAGAACATCTTAAGAATTTGATATTTTCCACAAAGTTACTCAAGATAAGTCTTGAGTCATCTGGAGTTTGGGTTTCTTTAAACTTTTTCTTTACTTCAAAAACAAAAAAACAAATAGCCTGTTTCTCCAGCAGAAGCATGAATACTTGGTTTAGAAATGACCAACGTCTCAAAAAGCTTTGATTTCCTGCCACCTACTCTTCTCCAAAACGCCGAATTAATGGTATCTGATCCTAACAAAGTGAGGCATCCACAGCTAAAAATGTCTTTTTAATGGGGGTAGGGAGAGAGGGGGAAAAAGCAGGGGTAATTTTTTCTCAATATGTTTGTCATTATTATAGGTTATATATACAGAAGGAAAGTTAATTAAGCTTTAAAAAAAATCCATCACACATCAATGGCTGCATTTTAATGAGTACAAAAAGTTGAGGTGTTTACTACCAATTAAAGTGGTTTTTAAATAAGCATTAATTAACACAGAAATTCAGAAGAAAGTTATACCTTGTCAAAGAAAGGCCAGTGCAGGCTATGCCCACTTCTGCTCCCATTCATATTCAGATAGTAATTACCACCAACCCTATATTTTCCATAATAATGAGGAGATGCTGTCATGTCTATCAAACAACAACACACACACAAAAGTGGTAGAATTAGAAATTCTCAACCTGAAGTAAACTTTTCAAATTTTTTTCCTTCTGGGTTTTTCCCTTATCTGTGTCAGAGTTATTCACAGAGGAGGTTAGCCTGATTTTAACAGTGAATTTCTCCCTTTTTCCCCGCTTTTGCAGAGAGCACTGTGTAAGGAGAACTCATTGGTCAAGCCTACACCAGCACTCAGAACAACCACCCAATCATGACTTAAAAGGGCCTGCAGCTCTTCCTTTGTTTCTTAATAATCATGTTCATTTGCATAATCTGATTCCCTCTACCCCACTTCTTTTTAGAAAATTATTGCCCATCATAAGGTGGTAAGGAGGAGAAAGACCTAAAATCTTTAAAACCCACAACCTAACTAGTCAGATGGATGGTCTCATCCTTGAGTGAAAAGTACTGGGGAGTGTGCTGGGGTTTGAGGTGGCACCTAGGAAGATGCCACAGCGGCAGTCACAGGAGAGCAGTTCTCAAGCACTTTGAGGTAGTAAGTTCCAGAGACTGATCCTCAGCCTTACAAATCTGATTTTCTTACTGATGACTTTATTCTAAACAAATTCACATACAACTGGCCAATAAATCGGTATA